CCAGACGAATGGCTTGAAAAGCGTTGAGCATTAACACCAGTAAGCGCTAAAGACTGCGATAGCAGAGCGCCACAAGCCAATGTGTTACCTGAAGCGACATTTAGCATTAGCGTGAAGTCATTCATCTACTGTGTTGCCAAACTAAAATAAAACTGGTGGCCATATAAACAAGGCAAAGAATGTCACGCTAAGGCGTGGTGAAGTTCATTTGTCGAGTGATCGGCCAGCACATCAAGAACTAGGAGTTCTACATCGTGGCGTGACCACAGTAGCACCGGTGTTGGGTGCATCGTGCATGTCACGACCTAAAAATGGTTAAAACGTGTAATGTGCCGGTATTCAAACCAAGCACTCCACAGAATAAAGAATGCTTATTCGGAGTTTAGCGAGTTTGGCAGGGTCTCGCGTCGAATGCCTGCGGAGAACAGCCATAAAGTATTGCCACTGGACCCCACGGTTTCACCGGGCGTAGAGGCCGCCGAGAAAGGCCTACCATTGCGCTAACAGGATAGGCTTGCAAAGAATGAACTGGATCCGAATGGCGGGCTAGAGGTCATCTGTCAAGGTTGATTGAGGCCACGATATGGGCTATAGCAGTTGCCAGGCGACCGCCCGTGATAGTCACAAACCCAATGGCAAGTACGCCACTATTTGCCTTGCATCGATCAATCTCAACTCGCTGCGATTCGCACTTACACCACCGTGAACACTAGTCCTATGGCGACTATCGATGAAATTGCAAACAACGTGGCCAACCCGCGTTGCCCAAAACGCGCAAGTATTCTCAAGTTCGATGCTACTTCGGCGGATTCTTGGCAAATCGTTCTCGCACAAAGACAAGCTCGAAATTGACGACATTAACAATACGCCGCTTCGCGGAGCATATCACTTCCTCCGTTTACCGTTCGGCGCATCAGTTCCGCACCAGACCGGTCTTCTGTAAAAGGATGAATGAGCATTACTGAGGACCTGGCACATGCTAGCATGTAATCGTAGCATGATGTCCTTGTATGCCGATAATACAGTGTCACATGACACAATGCTGCATAGCTTCGAGATGATGCTGCAACATCGTGTGACAATGGCATCCACTAATGCGCTAGCAAACTTACACTACTGCGAAGCAGGAAGTGAACTATTGCGGGCCACATCATCGGTAAAGAGGACTTAAAGCAGACCAGAGAAAATCAGGGCAGTCACGCAAATAGCAGAACCAGAGGACAAAAGGTGCAGTGATGCGATTCCTTGGGCATGGTACAGTATTTGGGAAAGTTTCTTCCAAATCTGTCAAAGAGCTAACAAAACTCTCTGCGGCAGCTTTACCACGTAAAGATGGTTGCGTGGCACGCGGAAGCCACAGTCAAGAAGCTACTGTTGAGACAACAAGAAGCTGGTGTCCAAAGTCCTGGTGTTACATTGTTTGACAACGAGAAACCTGCTTCAATTATCAGTGGATGCGAGTTGCGTATTTGCGGACTGTGGTGCGGTGTTTACTGCGAGACGAGAGACCAGTCGCGCATATGCCGATCAAGAGTTGATGAATGACACGCAACGACGATATGCGCAAATCGGATACGTGAACTACTCGCAGTTGTATTGCGAACGCATAAGTTTCTATGAATACATATATGCGTCGCAGAAAGTCATTATTGCAAACGGACCCATAAACCACTGATCCTCGCATATGTGCGAGCCGATTTATTCGAATTACGCACGACTTCAAGACATCGGTGCATGACACTGCTGAAAGCTAGCACAGTTCGAAATTGTGTAAAACTAGGAAAGAGATGCATGTTTGCAGGATGCACGCAGTCGTGCCATGTCTCAATGAAAAGGTTCGACTGCCAGAGTTGCGAAGTTGTATGATATGAGGCAACAATCTACCGATCACACAGCAACGCCTCAACAGGTTCAGGGAAGCAACCTAATCTGAATCAGTGCTTGCCAGAAACTGCATGCGGCAGTCATGCACTGGATGCGGCCGAAAGCAGCGCGTGTTCTGTTCACCGCAGCAGTATTTATGTCGTTGTACAGTACGTTTAGTATTTGTACCCGCTTTGAATAATCAGTTTAGTGGTGAGGGCCACATGTTTGATTCCCGCGTTTATATAGTGTAATCTTTGTATGTAAAGCCTTTTGCTTCGCGCGTTCACTACTGTGCAGTGTCACCGCTACTGTGTGTCCCGTCGAGCGTCGGCATGCCAAAATGTAAGTCTATTTAGTCCTAACGTTCTACTGCAGTGTTATTATAACTTCAGAAAGCATGTTCATATTCATAGTGTTAACGTAGATGTAGAATAGGTGTACGTTCAATCTGATAGCTAAATTACATTCAATTGGAGTTTATTATATTTCGCGCGGGTTTTCTAAAAGAACAATGTTTACATAGGGTACAGCTGTACTACTGTAGCATGTAGTAAGAACGTATTCTCTGTATTTTCATTTTTAGTTTTCACTGAATAAACTACTGAATACGAGACCTTCTGCCTTTCGTCTCTATCTGATGACAGTAAAGTGAAAAATTGGCCATTAAAGATGTCGGCCACAGACGAGGACACTACTACAATAGAGTACACCATGCCGTCCGTGGAAGCGCCCGCACCAGGTCCAGTATTAAACAACAGCAACGTAGGGTCAGAAGCTCAGCTTCGTTAGGCTCGTACTGTTCTCAGACTACGCTAGCGGACAGAAAAAGAGCAAAAGCTGAAGCAGCAAAGGCACGGGTGACATTTGCCATAAAGGAGGCCGAGTTAAAGAAACGAAAAGCTGCTCTTGAAGCCGAACTCGAGGTTTTAGGAGCTCAGAAAGATTTGGCAGCCGCTGAGGCGGAAGCAGATGCACTTGATATGGCATCGGATCGACAGGAGAAATCTGAAATATCAAAGGAAGCAGTAGACTCTCTACCCAACGAATTTGCTGATGTAAGAACTACAAATTACGTTGCTAGTCTACCGCTGGACCCAACAGTGCCCCCGTACATACCTCCACAACATGAACAAATGCCCGCTATGGCAAAGAAAGAGTGGGTACTTGCGTCGGATTTTACCAGCTTCCTGTTAAAAAAAGAATTACTTATCACAAGCCTAATAAAATTCAATGATGAGCCGCAGTCCTACAACACATGGAAAATGAGCTTTCAGTCAAGATGAGAGAGCTGGACGTCAAACCCTTAGAGGAATTGGATCTTCTGCAAATGGGCAGGACCTGAGCACAGGACGGTTAGAAGCCTGAAGGATGCAAATATGCATAATCCACAGCGAGGTTTACAAAGAGTTTGGGAGCGGCTAGACGAACGCTATGGTGCTCCAGAGATGATCGAGTCCTCGCTACGACGAAAGTTAGACAGCTTTCCAAAGTTGACCATCAAAGAACCAAAGAAGCTTTATGAGCTCTCAGACATCGTCTCAGAAATTGAATCCACAAAGAAGATCCACGGTATCAGTCACTACTAGGCTATTTTGATTCATCATCTGGCGTTACACCCATTGTAAACAAGCTACCTTACAACATGCAGGAAAAATGGACTACAAGCGCAGTTAGATACATTGAGCGAAACCAAGTAATCTATCCTCCCTTCAGTCACTTTGCCCAGTTTCTCCGGGAACAAAGCAAGATCCGCAATAATCCAAGCTTTACATATGCTGGCGCTAAGCCATCCGGGGAGAATTACCAAGCAACACGGAGAGGTCCACCTGAAATTAGTGCTAGGAAGACTAATGTGGACCAAGACCTCGCCACCTCATTCAGTCGCAGATGCCAATCTATGTCCCCTACAAACACTAGACACTCGCAGACCAGTGCAGGAAGTTCCGGATAAACCTATCGACGTCAGAAGAAAATTCCTGCAGGAAAAGAATCTGTGTTTTCGCTGCTGTTCTCCAGAGCACAGACGTCAATATTGTAGATCAGTCATCAAGTGTGAGGAATGTGGCAGCGACAAACATTCAACAGCTCTACACTTTGACTACAACGAGATTAAGCGACCATTTAGCAGTTCGGGAAGTCACGGCGGGGAGCCATCGAGTGTATATCATGGACGATACCCAAATGCACTAAATGGGAAGAAGTCAGAGGACATCAATTCAGCATGCGCTCAAATTTGTGGACAAAACTTCAGTGGGAAATCATGCGCTAAAGTAGTTCTGGTTGAGGTGTACCCAAGAAACAATCATGGGAAATCTAAGAGGATGTATGCACTATTAGATGACCAGAGTAATCGATCTTTGGTGAAGCCGGAATTCTTTCAGCATTTTACAGGCGACTACCCCCAGGTAACATATTCCTTGTCTTCCTGCGCGGGAGTGATAGACGCATCAGGACGCAGAGCAGAGGGATTTGTCGTAAAAAGTGTGAACAGTACGACAGTCCTAGATCTACCTGTACTTACGGAATGTTCCGAAATCCCTGATATAAGAGAGAAATCCCTACTCCTGAGGCGGCAATGTGTCATTCACATTTACGAGACATATCTTGTATGATTCCCAAGCTCGAACAAGATACACAAATACTGTTGCTCATAGGAAGAGACCTGACAGAAGCTCATCATGTTCTGGATCAAAGAATAGGGCCTAAAGGGTCGCCGTATGCCCAGAGGTTGAGTCTTGGATGGGTGATCGTTGGGGAGACATGCCTCGGTAGAGTTCACCGTCCCTTCCCAGACAAAGTGCATTCCTACAAGACCCACGTACTGAGCAACGGTCGGGCATCATTGTTTCCGCCATGTACGAACGAATTCATCATGCGCATAGATCCGAGTAGTAAAAGCAGGCATCTTTCACTCGACACTGAAACTGCAAGGAAGGATTACGTCGATATTGGAAAAGATGTTTTTGCTCGACGAAGGATGATGAGAAGGCAGGATTAGCCAGAGAAGATCGAGCATCCTTGAACTGATGGACAAAGGAATGCGTGAAAGACGCACAAGGTAACTGGACTGCACCGCTTCCTTTCCATTACCCACGCCCTATTTTGCCAAATAATAGAGCACAAGCACTCAAAAGAGCAGAAGCTTTACATTCTGGGTTACAAAGAGACGGAGTCAAGAGAGAACACTTTGTGACATTCATGAAGGGTGTAATAGACAACAAACATGCAGAGGTAGCACCTCTACTGAAAGAGAATGAGGAATGTTGGTACTTGCCTCTCTTTGGGGTGTACCATCCTAAAAAACCTGGCAAGATTAGAGGTGTTTTTGACTCATCTGCTATTTATGAGGGATTATCCTTGAACAAGGTGTTACTCAAAGGACCTGATCTGACAAACAGTTTAATTGGTGTCTTGCTTAGATTTCGCCAGGAGCATGTAGCAGTAACAGGAGATATAGAACAAATGTTCTATTGTTTCTTTGTCAGAGAGGACCATCGGAACTTCTTGAGGTTCTTATGGTATAAAGACAATGATCCCAAGAAGAACCTGATCGAGTACCGCATGTGTAAGCATGTCTTCGGCAACAGTCCATCGCCAGCAGTAGCCACATATGGACTTAGAAGAACCGCAGAAGAAGCGGAAGTTGAATTCGGAAGCGACATGAGAGACTTTGTCGACAGGAATTTCTATGTCGACGACTGTCTGACATCGAAGAGATCTCCTCAAGAGGCTATAGATTTGATGACCCGGACTCAGAAGGCACTCCAGACCACAAACATTAGACTGCACAAGATAACGTCTAATTGTCAGGAAGTGATCGACGCATTTCCTAGAGAGGACTTAGTTGGAGATCTAAGAGACCTTGACTTAGGCATTGATGTCTTTGCTGGGACTTGAAGCCTGATGCATTCATATTCAAAACATCAGACAACGTAAAGCCATTCACACGTCGTGGAGCTCTCTCTACAATAAACAGCATCTATGATCCCCTTGGCTTTCTAGCCCCTGTTACGATTAAGGGTAAGGTCATACTTCGGGATATGGTGGGGTCTTATGTTAAGGACTGGGATGAACCGATTCCGGAGGCTTTCAGAGATGCGTGGGAAGCGTGGGAAGGCGACCTGCAAGGCCTAGCTACATTAAAAATTCCACGTGCATACAACAAGGTTCAAGGAATGGAGGTAACACAGCAGGAGCTACACGTGTATTCTGATGCGTCGGAAAAGGCGATTGCAGCATAAGACATGTGTCTATGTGTAGCTAGATTTATAGAAAAGTAACTCAAATCGTTCGTGCCATATGATAGTACACTTTCTTACCGCCCAATAGCCGTGCGTATATTAGCCTGTGCGATACCGCGCAACTGTAATTCACAAGATAAATGCGTTCCACTCTCCACTTGCTCGCAGCTATAATATTTGTTTTGCAGTTCTATAAATCTAGCTACACATAGATACATGTCTTAGCTATAATCTCTGTAAATCTTGAGTTTATTGAATCACGATTAATTAGTCTAATTAATTACTACGGACCATTGTACAGCGTATCCATACAGCGCTGTACTTAAGCGGCAGCGGTGTGGATCCATTTGGAAACAACATGCCGGCAGCGATCACGTGACTGATTTTTTCCGACTCGTCATGGCGCAACTCTCTGTATACAGGGACCCTATTTATATCTACACCAACTACTTTCGCGACGCGGCACGACTGTTTCCACACTGTGACCATGGTTCGACTTATATAATATTATATACTGTATCGCATGATATCTGCGACAGCCAGCTTGCACATCCCCTAGACCAGTGGTTCTTAACCTTTTTAGAGGCGCCGAACCCTAACGAAACCCATTGCTCACTCGCCGAACCCCTCAAATTTGACAAAAACAAATCAATTTTAATCAACTTTAATTAATCCAAAATAAAACCTATTGCATCAACATTTAAGACTTTATTTGGAATGTGTGCAAAGAATAAACAAAAAATAAAAATTCTAGCAAATTCTAGCAAATTTTTAATGCGTTTCGGAGGACCTCCGCCGAACCCCTGAGACTGGCTCACCGAACCACTGGGGTTCGTTCGTACCCAGGTTAAGAACCACTGCCCTAGACCGTACACTGCACCATCGGCATTTCTGACAACGACTTACATATGGGAAATTACTGTTGTTTTTTATTACATGGGACATGTCTGAGGGTGACGACTTGTACATAAGCCTAATGACGACTTATAAATAATGACTTAGGTGGGGCTATTCCAATGGATTTACTATGAGAGAAAACCGGGACTTTGACTTCCATATGACGACTTAAGCCTAGCGCAGACTTGCGACTTTTGGTCGCGCGTCGCTGCGACCTGCAATCGCATGCGGTCAGTCGCACGCCTCGCCGAGTGTGCGCATGCAAGCGACTGGCTACCATTTCATTTGGTTGCTGTGAGCGTAGCACCATATTGAAATAGCACATGATGAGATGGTGCTCGCTGATTGGTCGGAAGAGAATTTGTCATCATTGCAAGTCACATGCGATTTCGGAGCGACGAGTTGCTGAAAATCAAACACGTTTGATTTCTTGCGACTCGTCGCAAGCGACCAGAATCGCAGTTGCACGATCCCGCAGACCTAGCGATTTCTCATGCGACTCGATTCTAGAGTCGCAGCTGAGTCGCAAGTCTGCGCTAGGTTTTAGGCGAATTGACGAGTTAGACGATGCCGACTTATGCGAGCTTTACTGTACCTATCAATTACGTACTTGCTGCCTGCCTATGTTAGGCCATCCTTAAAAAATTCGATGTTTGCTGTCCCCCGACCCATGATTTTTTTAGTGGGTAGGTAGGTAGGTCTTTTTTTTGTGAGGCATAATAGTTATTTTAAGTATGTCCTCATGTTTGCCTCACATGCTTTGTGTTTCAGTGTCTTAACTATGAGGAATGTAAAAAAAAAATGGAACCCAAAATGTCTCAAAAAACTTGGGTCGCGGCTATTTTCGTGGATCGGTCGGAGGACAGCAAACATATAATTTTTTAAGGATGGCCTTACTGTAACATGAGCATGTATATACCTGTCAATGGGCTACTTTCTACCTGCCTACGTTACTGTAACATGAGCTTGTATATACCTATATCAATAGGCTACTTTCTACCTGCCTATGTTAATGTAAAAAAAGCTTGTGTAATTGTATATTTCTTGTGCATTTATAAGTAACTACACACTAGAAATTATTATGAGAGTTTTCCAGTGTTTTCACCACTTTCATGATACCTACCGTTATTGCTTGAGTAACGATGAAATGTCTTAGAACCTTCGTATTTACCAAAACATGCAATTTTCGATCTAATAGTTTAGTAAACAATCGTTTGCTGTAATATTGAAACTAGAGCCGGTATTAAATCTATATTAAGGGACTCTAGTATGGAGCTGCTAGTAGCGCCGCCACCTAGCTGCCATAGACATACTACAGTCTCTCTCAAATGCACTTGTTTTCAATTAATCACCAACAATTTACAAGTTTACCAATTCTGCCACAAGCGCGATACGATAAAATGCATTGCTGTTACGATGTGTTCACATCCAATTTTCAATACTGCATAAAATCAGTGTTTTTAATGTTGGTGTAATCAGCGATATTTCCGTTGTCAGGTGAGACTATATTCAGCTACTAAAAATAAGTTCATTCGGTTGGTAGACTAATAGATCTATCTGGGTTAATTGTTACTCAACCGTGAAGATTGAAAACGTACAGCTGACGTTTCGCCTCCTATCAGGAGGCTTTCTCAAAGCTGAGTGAAGATGATCAGTTTTGACCACCAGATGGTGTAGTGGTCACCACACTAGCTCTAGGACTATAGCCCGCGTACAGTTGCCGCAGCAAACTGTACGCAGGCTATAATCCTAGATACAGACTCAGTCACGTGTGGACCAAGTTGTTGACCACTACACCATCTG